TAGGAGTCAGACCATGTGTTGGACCCCAGACCTTTCGACTTTGTCACCTCTGAGGACAAAGGCATGGGCGAGAGGCTAGGGGGAGGCTGTCTTAAGCACGTGGTCAGAAGCCTCAGGGTGACATTGGAGCAGAGGAGAGGGGAGGTGCATAGCTATGTCCATGCTCTGTATGCAGACACCAGGGCTGCCCTGTGGGTGAAGTCTCTGGAGAGGAGGAGACTCACAGGTGGGCAGCCAGATGAGGGGTGAGCCAGGCAACAGGCAGTGTAGCCTTGGGCAGGGGCAGGGCCTGGGGCCAACTGGAGCACAGGGTAAGGGGGCAAGGACCCCTTGCTGGTCTGAGGTAGGAGGAGGCTGAGCAGGCCCTGGGAGGGACTCCCAAGTGCAGCAGCCAGACCCCAGGTGCTTCCCTGTGTCAGTACCCCCCCCCCATGTCCTCAGGAGTCAGGAGAGCCCCCAGCCCTGCAAGTCAACAGGGACACTGGCAGCCCCCACCACCACCAAGGAAGGGCTGTGTGCAGGTGCAGCTGTGACCCAGGTACCACCTGGCTCTTTGCTCCTGCCAGGCCTCTGTCCTCTTGGCCTAGGCCTCCTGCAAAGATGGGCACCCCCCTTGTCCATATGATGAGGCAATAAGGGGTCTGTCCCCTGAAGCTGGAGGTAGACACCTTTCAAAGGAGAACCCCACCCATGACCCTCTCTCCCCCGCCCCATGGAGACCAGCAGCAACCTGGGGCCAGACAAGGATGGAGGGCCTTCCCTCCTCACAGGTGGTACTGTGGCCAAAGGTCTGTTTGCATGATGGGCTGATGAGAGGAGCCCACCAGCTGTCAGCAAGGGGATGATTCATTCAGCCTTGAAGGGGGTTTCAGGGTTCAGACCAGCCCGGGCTCTGAGAAGGAGGCAACATGAGGCTGACACGAGGCGGGCACAAAGCGGCCCTGCTCCCCAGGGTGACAAGGGTTGATGTCAGGTAAGTCTGATAAAACTTTATGGCCTTGTTCTCTGGGGTGGGACACAGCATTGCTATTCTCAAGGTCCTGGGTGAAAAAGACAGGCTGTTTCCAGCCTATCTGGGCCTAGAATACCTGAGCTAATAATTAATCAGATTATGGACACATCGACTCTCTTTGTCTTATATTTGTAAATTGAGCTAAATATACATAACTTAAAATTTACCATCTTAAGTGCACAGCTCAGGGCATGAAGCACATTCACACTGTTGTGCAGCTGTCACCACCATCATCTCCAGAACTTCCCATCTTCCCAAACTGACACTCTGTCCCCCTTACACACTGATCCCCCTCCCCACCCTCAGTCCCTGGCACCACCATCTACTTTCTGTCTCTGTGGACCTAACTCCTCTGGGCACCTCGGCTGAGTGGGGCCACACAGGATTTGTCCTTGTGTGACTGGCTGACGTTACTTAGCATAAAGTCTTAAAGTTTCCCTCATGTTGTAGCATAAATTTCCTTACTTTTTATGGCTGAATAATATTTCTTTGTCTTCCTTTAAAGATCAGTGTAAACCTGTCTCTCTTTGGCTGCTCTGACAGACCTCTTGGAGGATCAGGTGACCGGGGGAGAGTTTGACCAGCAGGCTTTGCCGGGGCAGGAGTCCCCTCTGGATCTATGGAGCAGAAAGGACAGGACATTCCTGGAGGAACCGGACACAGAGGGCCTGGTTTTTATGAGACACAGAGGGGCAACAGACCTTGGGGGAGGAGGTGGCAGAAATGGGCTGAGAGCAGGAGTGGCCTTGGAGAGGGGCACCAGTTAACACTGTCTGGGGTGCCTGGGACCAAAACCCGTGGGCATGAGGTCTCACTTAATGAGGGGGCTCCAAGCTGGCCAGGGTCCCAGATTTCATCCGTGGGTCAGGCCCCTTTGCTCCCCAGGCCTCAGGAAGCGGTTTTCATCCTCACGCGCATCACCCTAGCCCTCCCAGCCCTGGGTCCTTGTCCTCCCAGGACAAAGTGGGGGAGCCAAGAGCAAAAGCCTGTGCCCACTCCACCCATCCACCCCCAGGAACATGGCGCCCCCAGCCCACTCCCTTCATCCAATGCTGCTCAGCCCACCTCACAGCCAGGGTTCTTGGAAATGCTGGCCCCTGTTATCAAAGCCATTCCCTGGACTGTTATCAGCAGGTGCTGAGAATTCATAAGGCACACAGTCCACTCAAGGAGGGTCCATCTCAGGAGATGGGGATGACCTCGGCACCCCCACATCACAGGCCTCGGGACCCTTCCCCACTGCTCCTCAGCCCCGCGTCTCCCAGCCCAGTGCTGTCTCTGACCTGCACCCCTCCGTCCCTTCGACAGAGGAAAAGGTTGTGGTCGGCAGTGTCCAGTGACAAGGAGTCAGACTGGAGTGGGTTTAAAAATCAGGACCCTCTTGGTGACCCTGGGAAATGTAGCTTCATAGTGAAGGGCCATCCACAAGAGTGGAGACAATGACAGATGCCCAGAATGCCAGGCACGGGCATTACAGCTTCACCCAACGCCATTGTGCAGATGAAGAAATGGAGGCACAGAGAGGTAAGTAACTTGTCCAAAGTCACCCACCTACTGAAGGGTGGAACCAGGATGTAATCCCAAACAGTCCGGGTTAGGAGATTATGCTCTAGACTGTGGCGCTTTCCACCTAAAACCACAATGAGGGGAGACAGTGCAGTTGCAGGGAACTTGCTTTTGGGAATTTATACCACAGAGAGAGGAAAATGAGCATGCACACTGAGAGACAGTGGTGGCCTGTGTGGGGTGGCTGTCTGTGCAAGAGCACCTCTGGGAGCGAGTGAGGCAGTGGCCCAGGGCCCCCTGTGCCTGCCCAGCTGTGCAGGGCCCAGATTCTGTGCAGAGTTAGCTCTGAAGTGTCTGCATTTGTTGTCCAGTCAAGTGCCTGCTGCAGAATGGCAGCATGCCAGGCAGGGACCCCACAGAGCTCCTGGTGGGCACCACCTCCGACAGCTGTGTTCCCAGGACACTGACCACAAGGAGGTCCTGTGTACTGCTCTGCTTCGCTGGGAGATGCCCACACTGTGGTCTGGAGAGGGGTCATCCCTGCTGTGGCCTGGCCCAGGTGAGGCTGCTTCCACCTCTCAGGCTCTGTGGGAACAAGTGAGATTTGTCCTTTAAAAGCACAAAGCGCAGCCTCCGCCCAGGATGTGTGCTGGCAGTGTCCTGTGCCCAGGAGGCTGCCCCATAGGCAGGCAGGCAGGTTAGCTGATAGGATCCCAGCAGGAGTTCAGGGCACAGGAGGGAGCAAGGAGGCTACCTCGGGATTGATATGAGTGTGACTACACAGAACCTTTGACAACCTGAGCCCCCCTCAGGGAGAGCCGGGGATCTATTTGTCTTAAATTTAAAAAAATCATGGGGAGAAATGGGCAGCTGTGTGGGCCCCTTCCTGTGGAGGGGCAGTGGAACAGAGGCCCCCAGGACCCTGAGTTCTCCCCGAGTCCTGACAGAAGCAGGCATAGCCTCTGGTGTACAGGTGATGGGGCCAGGAAGGCAGCGACACTGCAGGGCACCTGTTCCTGAGGATGCACATTCAGAGAGATGCGCCGTCACTCAGGTGCTCTTAGAGACACACTAGCTTCGTGTCCATGGCTGCTGAGAGGAGAGACTATAAACCCAGTTACAGGGCCAAAACAACACACATTGGCCCTGGCTGTGTGCCTAAATGGTTAGAATGTTGGCCTGCCCACCAAAGGGTGGTGGGTTCAATTCTTAGTCAAGGGCGCGTACCTGGGTCACAGGTTTGATCCCTGGCCCCAGGTTGGCATGTGAGAGAGGCAACCAATTGATGTCTCTCTCTCTCCCCCTCCCTCCCACTTCTCTAAAAATCAATGGAAAAAAATATCCTTTGGTGAGATTAACCAAAAAAAGAGAGAGGGAAAACTCCACACATTTATTCTCTTACAGTTCTGGAGGTCAGAAGTCCAAAATCAGTTTCACTGGGTGGGGATCCAGGCGTTGGCTTGGCTGCACCTTCCCCATTGGCTCTGGGAAGGACTTGCCTTTCTCAGCTGCATTTCCAGCCTCTTGTGCTGCATTCCTTGTGTTCCTTGGCTCCTGGCCCTTCCTCCTGCCTCAAAGCCAGCATCTAGTCCCTTGCTTCGTGGTGACCTTGCCTCCATCTATGACACTTGAGGACATGCAGGGCCCACCTGGATCATCCAGGATAATCTCCCATCTCAAGGTCTTGAATTTAAGTGCATCTGCAAAGTCCCTCCTGACACATGAGGAAACATTCATAGGAGCCAGGGATTAGGCCCTCATGTCTCTGGGGACTGTCACTTAGCCAACCACAGACACACCCACCAAACATTAACGTGGTCACACAGCACGCGCAGTCCACACAGGTAGACGCTGTCAGGAGAACCCCACACTCACAAGGTCACATGTGGTCCCACATCAGTCACATACACTCCTCACATCCAAACCTCTTCCCATCAGCCTGCTCAAGCCCCATTTCGGAAGCCACAGAGCCCTTCCCCATCCTATGCCCTGTTATCTCCTGGTCCCAGGTGACAACCTTCCTCTCCCTGACAACACTGCCAGCTCCTCCTTTGTTCTGTCTCCCTCCACTTAGGAAGCCTCTCCTCTCCCCTGCCTTCAGAATTTAACCTAGTTCTGAGCCAGCCACCTCCTTCATGCAGTCTACCCTCTCTGCACAGTTACCCTGCTCACAGCCATGCCTCCCTGCCACACCCCATGGGTCCTTGGGGAACTTTAACCAAATAAAGGAAAGGAGAAAGTCAAAGGTCAGCAAGCAGAGCTTTTAAAGGGTGATTGTACACAGGTGGCACCGAGCCTGACTTTGGGAGCTGGATGACTGTTGGGTGGACATATCAGTACTGGCTGAGTTAAAGCACCTGGGCCTGGGGCATGGGTGGGGCTGGACAACCCCCCTAAGACTTGGCTCTAGTCATTGTGCAGAGGGGTCACCTCTCTGATCCCCACCTCTATCCCTGAGTTCTAGACCCAGGGGCCAGCTGCCATGGACCAGCCAGAGGCTTCCTGCTCCAGGTGAGTGCTGGGTCTGTGTTGTCACTTGGGAACTGGCTAGGCTCAGCCCTCTGGGGCTGCTGCCTCACCCTGCTCACTCCCTGGGCCTTCACACACCCTCAACCCCCACTGCCCCTGGGTCTGGATTCTAGGTGCACACTGGGGGGTCAGGGAGTCTGTTCCCCACCAAGCCTCAGACTCAGAGCACCGTGCAAGGCCCCCACGTGGGGGTGAGCACTGTGTTGCTGGGATTCAGGAACACAGTCTGGGCCAGGGGGTGATTCTGGCCTGCTCCCTCCTGAAGCCAGCTCTGCTTCAGGCTCCCAGGGGAGAGAAGGCAGGGAAGGGAGGGAAAGGGAGGGCACAGGCCGTCCTAGACACCTCATGGAGGGAGTTTGACCGGGGCCAGGCCAGTTGTGTGAAAGTCACCAGCAGGAGGGGAGGCACAGAACAGAAAGCACCCCTAAGGGCCTGGGTCAGAGGCGTCCAGTACCGGCCCTCACCACCAGGCGGCGACAGTCTCGGAAGCAAAGCCTTGGATCAGGCCCTGGGAGGGGAAGACTCCCCGATC